CAGGACTACTGATTTTTTTTTAGTTAATCTTGTATCCTGCCACTCTGCTGAAGGTGTTTATCAGCTGTAGGATAGAGTTTTTTGGGTCACTTATGTAGACTACCATATCATCTGTAAACAGTGAAAGCTTAATTTCTTCCTTTCCAATTTGTATCCCCTTGATCTCCTTTTGCTGTCTTATTGCTCTAGCTAGAATTTCAAGGACAATATTGAAGAGGTATGGAGAGAGTGGACAGCCTTGTCTTGTTCCTGATTTTAAAGGAATAGCTTTGAGTTTCTCTCCATTTAGTTTGATGTTGGCTGTTGGCTTACTGTATATTGTTTTATTATGTTCAGGTATGTTCCTCTTATTCCTGATCTCTCCAGGACCTTTATCATGAAGGCATGTTGAATTTTGTCAAAGGATTTTTCAGCATTTAATGAGATGATCATGTGGTTTTCTTCTTCAGTTGGTTTATATGGTGGATTACATTGACAGATTTTCTACTGTTTAACCAACCCTGCATCCCAGGAATGAAGCCTACTTGATCATGGTGGATGATTTTTCTGATATGTTTGTGGATTTGGTTTGCCAATATTTTATTGAGTATTTTTGCATCTATGTCCATGAGGGATATTGGTCTGCAATTCTCTTTCTTAGTTGTGTCTTTGTGTGGCTTGGGTACCAAGGTAATTATAGCCTCAAAAAATGAGTTTGGCAATGAACCTTCTGCTTCTATTGTGTACAACAATTTGAGGAGTATTGATATTAGCTCTTCTTTGAATTTCTGGTAGAATTCTGCTCTGAACCCATCTGGCCCTGGGATTTTTTTGGTTGGAGATTTTTGATGACTACTTCTATTTCATTAGGGGTTATAGGTCTATTTAAGTTGCTTATCTGTTCTTGATTTAATTTTGGTAAGTGAAATCTGTCCAGAAAATTGTCCCTTTTCTTTAGGTTTTCAAATTTTGAGGAATATAGGTTTTCGAAGCATGACCTGATGATTCTCTGGATTCCCTCTGTGTCTGTTGTTATGTCCCCCTTTTCATTCCTGATTTTATTAATTTGCATGTCCCCTCTCTGCTGTTTGGTAAGTTTTGATAAAGGTTTGTCTATCTTGTTGATTTTCTTGAAGAACCAACTCTTCATTATATTGATTCTTTGTATTGTTCTCCTAGTAGCCTACCTTAAATGCCCTTCCCTGATTATGACCTTGATGACTGACTTATATGTCATCCTATAGCCTTCATCCAGCAGCTAGTAGAAGTAGAAGCAGAAACCCATAACTAATCACCGAACTGAACTGGAACCCAGATGCAGAGAAGGACCAGTGAAGAGCACAGCAGTCCAGACTAGGCTGGTGCAACCCACAGAAACAGCTGACCTGAGCATCAGAGAACTCTTGCTCCCCAAACTGAGAGCAGGAATACCAGCATGGAACTGATCCAGACCCCAGGAACATGGTTTTCTGTGAGGAAACCTCAGAAATCTACAGGACCTCCTGTAGAAGTTCAGTGCTTATCCCTAGCATAGGTGTGGACTTTGGGAGCCCGTTCCACATAGAGGAATACTCCCTGAGCCAAGACACATGGGGTTGGGCCTAGGCCCTATCCCAAAGGATACAATAGACACTGATGACACACTATGGAAGGCCTCACCATCCAGGGGAAGCAGAAAGGATATGTGATAGGTAGAGTTTTAGTTGGGGGCGGGGGCAGTAGGGGAGGATGGGTCGGAGAAGGGATCTTTGATTGTCATGTAAAATCCTATTTCTAATTCAAATAAAAAAGTTGGAAAAATTAAAAAATAAACCATTTAACTAAACCATAAAAAAGAAATTCTTTTGTCAGATATGTCTCAAGTATGACTAGAAAATCAGACCCAAGCTATATAATTTTCTTAAGTAATTTCAGGACACTTAATAAGGCAATGTGAAAACAATGTACCTATCAATTAAATCAGACCCTAGAAGTACACATTGAAAATTATCAATTCATAATTTTTGAAGATGTATAATTTTACATAGGCACACTGAAATATATGTTTCTTGATAATATTGTGGTTGATAGAGCATTATACATGCTTATACAATCATAAATGCATTAAAAATATAAATAATTTATGTTAAATTCAGGAAGTATGAACTAAAATAGACTGCTCTGAATACTGAGTAGTCTTTAAGATTGCCTCCAGATGCAAAACTATTTTTAATTTAATGTTTGTTATTTCACCATTTTTAGAGGAATTACTCACATATGTACTTATGGAAATAATATTTACACTTATTTACTTTATTTGCTTTATAAAAATACCATAACACTTTCACTTTCCCTCTCAACATTGTATGTTCAATTGTCTTTATTTGTGAAAGTAGTTTTTTTCCATCCACATTTGTTATATTTTATGTCTGTACCTTAAGTTTTTAATTTTTCTGTTAATAAATGTTGAAAATGTTCCCAGGTTTTTTTTTCTTATAAATCATCCTGCTTGAGTGACCTCCTGCTTTTCCTCTGGTGCATATAATGAAACTCTCAAAAGAGAACTTTTCTGAGTGTAAGAGCCAGAGGGGATGGAGGACACCAAGAAAACAAGACCCTCTAAAGCAACTGAGCAAAGCTCAGATGAACTCACAGAGACTGAGGCAGCAAGCACAGGGCCTGCAAGGGTCTACACTGGCCCTCTGCATATATATTATGGCTTCCTCTGTAGTGTTTTATGGGATTCCCGAATGTGCAAACAAGACTGTTTTCTTGTGCCTTCTTTTGAGCTATTTTCATTTTGTTTCTATTGTCCAAATCTGCTGTGTTTTTATTTATCTCATTATATTTTTATTATGTCTTAGAAGCCTGTTTTGTTTACTAATGAAAGACAGAAAGCGAGTGGATCTGGATGAGAGGGTAAGTGAAAAACATCTGGGAGGTTTGATGGTGGGGAAACTGTAATCAGGCTATATTATTTGGAAAAATCTATTTTCAATAAATGGGAAAAATTAAAAGAAAACTTTTCAGGTATGTGTAGTTTGCCAGGGAGATCTTGATAAAGAAGAATGAGTCTTCATTCTATGAGTCACTAAAGACATTAAATAAGAAGAAACTCTTCAGTTCATTCTTTCATTTCCTTGGTTTGTTAGGTTTTGTTTATTTTGTTTTGTTTATTTTTTGGTTTTGCCTTTATTTCATTTTAAGAAAAGCTCTCGTAATGGAACTGAAGCTAGTCTTGAACACATGATGGTTTAGCCTGTACCTCCTTGGTTCTTGTCTGACAAGGGTAGACCACCACATCCAGTTCTTCCATTCTCTTTTCTCCCTTCATTCCTTTCTTCCTTTATTTCTTTCTTTTCTTTCTTTCTTTCTTTCTTTTTTCTAATAGGGTATTTCTCTATGACAAAATCAGAAAAAAATGTTATAAAAATTATAAACCAATGTTCTTCATGAATATAGTCACAAAAATATTTACTAAAAACAGAATAAGCAGAATTCAACAACTCACAGATATCAATATATACCATGACTAAGTGGGATTTATCCCAAGGTTGTAAAACTGTGATTTAATGTTTGAAAAAATATACTAATGAAATTCACTATAGTTAAAAAAAAGTGGAGGCATTAGTGGCACACACCTTTCATCTCAGCACTGGGGAGGCAGAGGCAGGCGGATCTCTGTGAGTTCGAGGCCAGCCTGGTCTCCAGAGTGAGTGCCAGGATAGGCTCCAAAGCTACACAGAGAAACCCTGTCTGGAAAAACCAAAAAAAAGTGGAGGAAATCTTGTGAAATCTGTCAATACTCAAAAGTCATTATCAAAGTTAAACATCTATACTTGGATTTTAGAAAAAGTACTCACAAAAATGAAATAGCAGGTAACTCTCTCAGTGTATGTGGTGGTTTGAATAAGTATGGTCCCCATAGACGCATGTGTTTGAATGCTTGCCCTATAGGGAGGTGGCACTATTAGGAGGTGTGGCCTTGTTGGAGTAGGCGAAACCTTGTTAGAGGAAGTATATCACTGTTGGAGCAGGGTAAGATGTCATATACACTCAAGCGAGGCCCCATGACACAATTCACTTTCTGTTGCCTGTGGATCAAGATGCCGAAGTCTCAGTTACCTCTCCAGCCCCATGTCTGCCTGCATGCTGCCATGCTTCCTGCCATGATGACAATGGACTAAACCTCTAAGCTGTATGCCAGGCCCCATTAAATGTTTTCCTTTATAAGAGTCGCTATGATCACAGTGTCTCTTCATAGCAATAGAAACTCTAAGACAGTCTAATAAAGATTAATTTCCTCTAAAGTGGAAAAGCTGAATGTTTTCCTACAAGACTAAAGCAGGGCAAGACTGTTCATTTTCACTCTTATTTAACCATGCTGGAAACTCTGGCTAGTGAAGAAGACATAAAGAAAAAACAAAAATGACACAAATGCAAAAGAATAAGGCTAGCCTAATCTCAAATGGCATTGTTACCAGTACAGAAGTCACCAAGAAATTCAACAAAAACTTCATAGAATTGGTAAGTTCTGAGAGATCACAGGATATAAAATAAACATATAAAAATTATATTCTAATATGCTAGAAATAAATGTGTGAGTGGGAAGAAAATTAAAAATACAATGTTCTTTGCAATCATTCAAAACTAATACCAAAATCAATTAGTATGCTAACAACTACACAACACTATTGGAAAATTCTTAATCTTTACCAATACAGACACACTGTGTTCAAGCTCTGGAAGATCCAACATGGAAAGGATATCAGTCCTTTTCCAAACTTATATATAATTTTGATGAAATTCTTCTCAAACTATCAGTAACTTTTGTAGCACTAGAAAAATTATTAAAACTTATGAGGAAAAGAAGCAAAAGAATAACTAAAACAATTTTGAAGAGGAAAAAGTAGAATCTGTCTATCCTATTAAAAGGTTTGTTTTATATATACACTAGTATTTAAAAAAATACTTCTGGGTAGAGGCATAAATTGAGAGACCAGCAGGGTTGAACAGAAGATTCCTGGTAAAATCACCAAAATATGTACCATTAATTCTTAGCAAATACACAAAATCAATTTAAGGAAGAAAATGTAGCTTTCCAACAACAATAAAAAAGCACTTTACAATATTTGTATGTCCATATCCAGCAACAATAATAATAATAACAATAACAATAAATGTCACCCAAGTCTCACAATACACACACAAAAGTTAATTCAAATTAGGTCAAAAACCAGATGTGAAATTACAAATATTTTAGAAAAGAGGTACAGCAAAGTCTTTACAGTGTAGAACGAGGAGCAATCTCTTAGACGTCACAAATATCACAAATATAATCTGCCAACAGAAAACTGACAAATTGCACTTTGAAACAAAGGACACATTTTTTTTCTTTGATAAAGACATGTCAAGGAAGTTGAAAACAAGACAGGGGAAAATATCTGTGGACTATACATATAACAAAAAATTTACAGTATCTGCAGTGTGTCTGCAAAGAACTTTCAAAATCAACACTTGTAATTTTTGGCAAGATACAAGAAAAAGCACTTCCTAAAAAACTTTGTCAGAAGGAAACTGCACACACTGAGGGACACCCAGCATCCTTATTCTTTATGTGTATACACAGCAAAACTGTAACTAGCAGAAATGAAGGATAATACCAACAACAGTGGTTGGTAAAGACACAGGGAAACCCAGTGTTAGTGGGAATATAAAATGTACAACCAAGCAATTGCACCCTAGGGCATGAATGCCAGATAGATGAAGATTTTACTACAAAAACCTAGACAACAGTGCGGAAACCTCAGAAGTCTACGGGACCTCCTGTAGTAGTTTAGTACTTATCCCTAGCATAGATGTGGACTTTGGAAGCCCATTCCACATAAAGGAATACTCCTTGAGCCAAGACACAGTGGGGGTAGGCCTAGGCCCTAACCCAAAGGCTATGATAGAATCTGATGACACCCTATGGAAGGCCTCACCATCCAGGGAGCGCAGAAAGGATATGTGATAGGTAGGGTTTTTAGATGGGGGGTTAGTAGGGGAGGACGGGAAGGAGAAGGGAACTGGGATTGTCATGTAAAACAATCTTGTTTCAAATTCAAATTTAAAATATCTGAAAAAAAATCCTGGACAAGCATGTTTATATCAGCTTTGGTGTAAAAGCTTCATTCTAAAAATGCCCCCAGATTGCCTTCAGTAGGTGCATCAGTGAATGAACAAGCCATGATACATCTCTGCCACAGGGTAATATTCAGCAAGAAAAAGAAATTATCCATATGTGTATTAATAGCTACCTGGATTGGTCTCTCAAGAACTGTAATGAGTGCACAAAAACCAAGTCTAAAATTTTGAACTCTACATGATCCCCAAATCATTTCCAATTGGATGAAACACGCCTGAGCAAGTACCCCCACTACTGTCACCTTTGTGAAGACCAGTCAGGCTTCACTTTCTTTCCAGAACCCTAGAAACTTCCCTTCAGGTAGACCTAATAATCTAAACATGACAGAGGAGGAAGTATGGAATACACTTGAATTCAAAAGTCACAGGAAAAGATTATCTCAATAAGATGCCAATGGCACAAACATTAAGACCAACAATTAATAAAACTAAAGAGTGAAGAGGCAGGACACAGAAGGTAAAAAATTATTTACTGCTATATGTTTGATTAAAGGGTTAGTATTAGACTATACAAAGAACTCAATAAAAGTATCAAGAAAATAACCCAATTAAAAATGAGGCATGGAACTAAACAGAGAGTTATAAAAATTTCCAACACCATTAGCCATCAGGGAAATGCAAATTAAAGCTACTTTGAGATTTCTTCTTACTCCAGTCAAAATAGCTAACAAAAAAATTAAAAATAAAACACCAATAAGAAATGCTGGCGTGGGTGTGGCAAAAGAACACTTGCACCATGATACAAACCTAGTACATGAGCTAGCTTGTTGGAGCCTATTTCCTATGGTAGGATGTCATGTCCAGCCTTAATGCATGGGAGAGGGGCTTGGCCCTACACCAATCTATTTTGGCAGACTTTCTTGACCCCTCATGGAAGCCCTTACCTGTGAGGAGGAGTAGACTGGGGATGGGCTGGGTGGAGCGTTTAGGAGGGTGTGGGAGGAGGGGTGGGATGGAGAACTCTAGTTGGAATGTAAAATGAAATTTAAGAGAATAAATAAATGAGTAGAAAAAGAAAATAAATTTTTCAAGTAAATGGATGGAGTCATAAATATTTATGAGGAGTCAGGTGACCCAGAGACAGAAGGACAAATGTCCTATGTTTTCTTTCATTTGTGTATCATTAAAGCCTCAGATATGTGTGCTTAGTGTGGAACATCCATAGAAATCAGGAAATTACTAAGGGGCATGGAGAGCATCTTTCAAGGAAGGGTACACAGAACACAGTAGTATAAAGGGCTAAAGGGGAGCAATGGAACAGAAAGGGCTAAATTGATGCAAGAGTGGGAGGAACAAAGGAAAGAATAAAGGGAAAGGTAAATAATACTAAAGACCTTTGAAAAATAATGGAAACCTACTATTGTAGAAGCTTCCTAATGTGTCTGTGTGTGTGTGTGTGTGTGTGTGTATATATATATATATATATATATATATATATATATGAGAGACAGAGAGAGAGAAAAAATAGTTACTTTATAGTGTGACAAAATAATGCTTCTACTAAAACCCAGAGATTAACAAATAAAAGCCCTGTTCCAATATTGCTTATTTGGAATTACTTCATTAAGAATAGTTGGCCACCAAGGTCCCATAGACCAAAAACATTACAGGCTGTTGTTAATGTTTCTAGTTACCCTCCAGAAATCAACAGTCAAGACCCTGTTTCTGTAGAAATGGCACACTTAAGTCATAGAACATGGAGAAATTGAGCTGGTACCAATCTGGGAAAACTC